TGGGGGAGGGGGTGCCCATGATGGGGGATGGGGTGTCCATGATGGGGGAGGGGGTGCCCATGATGGGGGAGAGGGTTCCCATGATGGAGGCAGATGCCCATGGGTGGGGGAGGGGTGCAAGAAATCTCAGAAGTGGTTGAAACTACTGGTTTGCAGCACTCACCACCAACACATTCCCTATAATTCCTGGTCCCTCGTACAGAAGTTCTGGATGTTTTTCTCTCAGGTGATGAAGAAACATTCCCATTCCAGTGAGGAAGTCCTTTGGTTGGCCAACATCCATCCAAAAACCTGAATAAAAAGTAAAATGAATAAACAGTATTTGTAAGACTACAAACAGTGGAATCCCAAATTTAAAACCAGCTAGAGTATATTATTACTAGAAAAATGACAAGTGGTTCTAAAACTCAGGAGTTCAGAGAATCCAGCCTGGTAATTTTTTCCTCATAGCTTTTTTTAATTTGTCGAGAGAGGTACATGTAAAGATAATTGCTTTGAATAATTGAGAGGTTTCAAAAAATTAAGGGCTTGAAAAATCTGGAAATCCACTGTGAATGTATTTTTGAATTTACATTAATTTGGACAGGAGCATGGAAAAACCAATGTAGGGCCTTGAAATGCATTGCACAGCCTATACAATGTACTCCAAGGCCATATCCCTACATTTAGGTAAAACATTACCACGATGCAGAATATTTGGGGAGAAAATCATTGACATATGGGATACTTAGATCAGATAAAATAGGATATCAAGTAGGGAAATCGTTCATTTTTAAAACTGGAATTAACAGAACACCGGATATTTTATTTTATACATGTATTACAGCCTACCTGAAAGGTTGTATGCAAATAGATCATCATCCTGAGCCATTCGTGGAAATATTTCCTTTTCAATTGATGTCGGTCTGAGCTGTGAGGTAATATCAGTGAACAAATACTTCATCACAACACACAGACATGTTATGTAGACATGTATGGTAATTTATATACATTGTACAGGTATACATTTTCACAGTCTTTTCCATCTCAAAAATATGTTTACCAATAACCAAGATTGCTGTCATCATAATTCTACAGAAATATGACATGATCATAATAAATGTAAATAAATTATATGTATAATTTATAAAGGAATTTCAGTATTTAAAGAGGAAGCCACATCAGGCCAGATGGTTTCTATGCAGGTCCGTTTTCCAGGTCGAATTGGAATAAAATTAAAGAAATGATGGTTTTTCAGGGGGGAGGAAAACTGGAGTGCTCCTGGAGAGAAATACATGTACCCCCAGAACAAGGTGAGAAGTAGCCTACAGCAGCCTCACCTTTGCATTGAGTCACATGTGAGGGAAGAGAGAGTCGGTGAGTGAAGCTATCTGACAGAGAGGAGTGTGGGAGGGTGGTGGGTGTGCACTCTCCAAATATGAGCTTGCTTGCAGGCTGGATGAGAAGCACCCATACTAAACCATCAAGTGCCACCAGGGTGTTATCAAAACTGGGCTGGAATAGTGGAAGGCAATCACTCTCACCACATCACCATGCCTGCTTCTTCAAAGTGGGTGCCTCTTCTCATCCCAAGAGAGTCCACTTATGGGTAGTTCAAGTTACTTTTAATAGGATTAAGATGCAATTATATAGAGTAACCCAAAAGGTACTTCAACTTACCTCAATTCTTGCTAACATCTTTGGATTAAATATGTACAGGCCAGCATTTATTTTGTTTGACACATAGACTTGAGGCTTTTCCACAAATTTTTCAATTCGGCCTGTGTTTGAATCAAAGACTACCACACCATACTTAGATGGTTCTTCAACTTTTGTCACCTGTTTAGATGTACGCAAAGGAAAATGAGTATCTGGAAGAGCATGGTAATTATTTTATTTACTGCACTGTTTAATAAGACATGAATTCTGCCCGATCAAAGGTTTTGCATTTTGCTACCATCAATCATCTCAGGAAACAGAGGTAACATGTACCTCAATGGCTTCAAAAGGTCACGACTTTGGGTTTTGATTGGTAGATTTTGATCCTTTTTTTTCCTTCAGAGGTTTGTAAGTTGTCATAATTATGAAAGCAAGATTTACTTTTTTAAGGACTTGAACTTGATATTGTTATTGAAAGGTAGAGGAAATGTTTTTAACTGTCTGACAAATGTGCGACTCAAAATTTTTTCTTGCGTTTTG